AAACAAAAAAACAACAATTTGGTTGAAATCAAATTGTTTGTTTTCATCTATTTAGAATTCTTTCCAAAAAATCTTGGTTCAGGAGGAGGCTTTCTAATTTATTTTATTCAGTGTATTTGCTGTTCTATTCCAGCACCATCTGTCTTACAGGTAGCTAACTTTGTGGTAACTCCTAAGTCAGCTGCGCGCGGCCCCCAGGGCTCCTAGAAGGACCACAGTAAGTCAGGTGCCACCTCCAAGGCCTAACTCGGGCAGCCGGCAGCAGCTCTGCCTCACAGGCAGGCCTGTCTCAGCAGGGAGGCTTGCTGTCCCAGAGCTGTCACTTTTCTACAGCCTCCCTTCTCCCTTAGCTTCCGGTGGCAATGGGCCTTTCCTCCCTCATCATCGCCTGTGTCTCTGCGGCCCCTGCTCGTTTTCTGCTCTCTTCTATGAGTCCTTCGGTATAATGAGATAATGTCGATGATCTTGAATATAATCACATATGGCTGCTGGATCCATGCACAAGTTTAAATCAAATTAGAAAGTAAATTCACTGCCAAGAATGCTTAAAAGTCATAGGGCCAACTGATTAACCACTGACAAGTCAGTTTCCGACTCTGTTTTCTAAACTGTAAGTGATTCATAGGAGGGGACTAAAAGGGAATCACTCCCCAGACTGAACACTGCAGACAGAAGCAAACAGCTTGCTCAGGAGACGGCGGCTATCAGAAAATGCAAGTCAGCCAAAACCATGTTCATTACCAAATAAGCACACAGACAGAGAAAATTATCTTGATGGCTGACATCATCCTCCAACTGGACAGATAATTTCTGTTTTCCCCTCTCTCAGATGCCATTCTCTCCAAGACTCATATTTCCTCACCAGCCGGCTCCACCCTTCCTAGCCAGATGTTAGAGCCCCCAGGCTCTGGGTCACAGACCCCTGACCCTGCTCCAAGCTGTCAGGCCCTGCCCAAACCTCCCCCCACCGCAGGACCCACCTCCCTCACCCCAGATGCTCCCTCCTCACCCCCACTACCAAGGTTTCATGCTCCCCCAGCCAGGGCCTGCCTCTCAAGAAGAGGCGAGAGTTCGACTACCCAGCCCAGCCTCAAACAAGACAGGCCAGGGTGTCTGACCACCTCAGCACATAGAATGTGGGCACTGCGTCTGGGCAGAACTGGGCTAGTGCGTCAATGTCTGTTTCTCCATAAGGACCAGTAAGAGCCATTTCAAGACATTTACAAGCCATTTTCTTGAAGTTGTTTCCCCCAGGTGAGGCAGGAGATCAAGAATGCCATTATATAGCCACCCTAAACTAAGAACAAGCCCAGAGGCCAGGCTTGGTGGCTCATGCCTGTAAGACCAGCACTTTGGGAGGCCGAGGCGGGCAGATCACCTGAGGTCACGAGTTCGAGACCAGCCTGGCCAATATGGTGCAACCCCATCTCTACTAAAAATACAAAATTAGCTGAGTGTGGTGGCAGGCACCTGTAGTCCCCGCTACTTGGGAGGCTGAGGCAGGAGAATCGCTTGAACCCAGGAGGTGGAGGTTGCAGTGAGCCAAGATTGTGCCACTGCACTCCAGCCTGGGCAACAAGAACAAAACTCGTCTGGGAAAAAAAAAAAAAAGGGGGTGTAGTGGCTCATGCCTGTAATCCCAGCACTTTGGGAGGCCGAGGCAGGCAGATCACGAAGTCAAGCGATCGAGACCATCCTGGCCAACATGATGAAACCCTGTCTCTACTAAAAATACAAAATTAGCTGAGCGTGGTGGCAGGCACCTGTAATCCCAGCTACTTGGGAGGCTGAGGCAGGAGAATCGCTTGAACCCAGGAGATGGAGGTTGCAGTGAGCTGAGATTGCACCACTGCACTCCAGTCCGGGTGACAGAGCGAGATTCGTCCCAAAAAAACAAGCCAAGAAACACAAGCGAGAGCTTGAGCCAGTGCCCTGAGCCCTGCCCACCGCAGACAGCAGCACCAGAGAAATGGGAGGGTGGGGGTTCTCGTGGCCAAAAACATCCACGTGGCAGCTACCACTACCATGAGCTCCCTCTGCCAGCCATGTTGTTGTGAGTGTTTGAGAATTTAAGCAGAAACCATTTAGAATAATAAAGCCTGCTAACAGGCTAGACACTTCCTGTCAGAGGCCACAGGCCATCCCACGCCCCACCATCCATCACCCACTCCGGGATAGTGGGGCTCAGGACCCAGGACATGGAGTGACGGGAAGGGGTGGACTCATTTCAGAACTGCTGCCCCACCCATTCTCCTCAGGGTATTCAATGGACAGAGATGTTTAGAGTCTGACATGCAAAATTACGTTATGCTTAACTAATCCAGGCTGAGAAATGGAAGCCTTTAGTTAAACCATCTCTAACCCAGACACGGGGGCAGCTCTAACCCTCAGCCGCCCAAGATCTGGACCCACAGGCCACTCCAGGAAACAGAGAGGTTGGCTGAACAGTCCGAAGCACTCAGGTGGCACCTCCTTCAAAATACCTGCTGGAACCCACAGAAGCCTCGGCTCACATCACAGGCTCAGAAGCCTGACTCACAACTCAAGTTGATTCCATGGCAAGAAGGCATCGCAGAGGCTGAAGCCCACTGACAGCCCCTACCTAGAGGTGAAGGCCAGGCTTAGGCAGGAAGAGCCAGCTCTGGGTTTAGATATTCAGCAGAGAGCTTGCAAACCTGGATCCCTGCCTCCTCTCTGACCACTAGTATTTGCAACTGAAAGCCAACATTTCCTCTACCAAATTTCTTTTGTCATGTTCATATTAAAATAACTCCAAGTGTAATATTTGAATCTGAAAGGCCGCTTTAGAGATGAGCCAGATGGGCCAGTATCAGATAGCACAGGATGGGCAAATCATTGCTGTAGCTTCAGGCAAAAGAAGAAAGACCTGCTAGTTTTTCTGAGGATTTTTTGAGGTTTGGGGTTTTTTTAATGCATTTTGTGAAAATTTTGCAACTCATTTGGCAATAACCAGATTTGTAAAGGCCTGGAAGAGGCTTGTAAGCATCGGTGATCCATGTTAAGATCTGAGCGTGCTGGAAAGCAGGCAGATGGGGAGCTAAAAGGCAAAGCCCACGTTCTCATGATCTAGTCCAGAGCCCAAAGGAAGCTGCCATGTGCTCCAGCTTCCATGGAAGACTCCCCACATCCTGAGGTCTGACAGAGTTCCTGGCTTTCGAGGCCAAAGAGTCACTCATGCCAGGAGTCAGGGTCCCTGCCTTCTATGTGACAGGAGCCTAGTCACCTACCAGGAGACCTAGTGGCCTCAGTGGCCCTGAGCTTTGGCTGGCCAGGCCTAAAACAGGTGCTGCTGGGGCCCTAGCTGGGGACCTGCCCACAGGGCTGGGTTCTGGGCTGGGTCTGGTGGAGATTGAAGGACTCATCCTGGAAGCAGGGGGGAGGGGGTGGCGCCGGGCCTGCAGCTGCTGCTCTGCAGACCTCTGCCTTCCCCAAGCCTCTCCCAGGACCCTCTCAAGATGAAGGAGAAAGTAAACAACCTCACATGTCCTCAGCCTGGATGCCCAAGGGCCTGTGGGGCATCCTAGCTGCACTCAGCATGCCCAGCAGCTCATGAAGCCAGGTGTACACCATGCCCACTGTGCAGAGGGGAAACTGAGGCTGAAAAAAGGCTTAAGTGGCTTGTCTGGAGGGCTTCAGCATAGTGACACAGCCTGGAATAATTCTGTTCCTTCCAGCCCTGAACACTTTGCAGGTTTTCAAAATGCCGTGTCCTCCAGAATCACCCAACAGCTTGTCAAAATGCAGGGCCCTGCCGTGGCACATGCCAGGTGAGGCGTGGCCTCCTGGATGAGCTGTGGCAGTGCGGGCTATGGCTCCGACTTTGAGCGGTGTGCTCAAGGTCCCTGCGAGCGGGCTCGGAAGCATGGGGACGGGGACAGTAGAGGCGTTTCCACCTCCAGGTCTTAGGGCAGAGACTGGCGCCTGGCTGTGCTCATTTACTAACTGTGAACAAATGTTTTGCAGAGGGATTCTGGACTGAGTGGGAAAAGTCAGTTCTTACAGGTTCCTGGAACACAGGGCCATTGTGTAAGGACAGTAACAGAACTCCTCCGTTTTCATTTCCAGATGCATTTTTCATGTTAATCATTCCAAGCACTTACGGCGTGAACCCCGGGCACTCACAGAGCACCTGGGTGCAATCCTAATTAAAGGCGGAGGCCTTAGTGAGCCCAAGGACCACCTCATCATCCTAACAAACTGCTGATGGGGCAAAAAGCCTCTTTGACAGGAAGAGAAGTGATTTAGAAAACAAGAGGTCTCATACTGCCTTCCAGACTCACGGGAACACTTTCCCTCCTGCCTTTCCCTGCTGGTGACCACAGTCAAACCCGAATGGGGAAAGCCTGGGTGTGGAGTCAGACTTAGGTTCCATCTGTGGTGTCCCTCCTTGCTAGCTGTAATGCTTGTCTGGGCCTCAGTTTCCCTATCTATAAAATGGAGACAACGATGTCAACGTCACCAGCTTGTTCAAGGGTGAGGGGAACTGACGCGTGTTCTGTGCGTAACACTGCCAGGTGCTCTGCATACACTCCAGATGTCACCCAGTCATCAGGCAGCTAATTTAGGACGAGACGCCTGCATTCCACTCAAGACCTCTTTCCTAATTGGGAACACCTCTTTCCTCAACCAGTTCAGACCAATTCAAACCATACACGACCTTCAGAGGCGGCTCCAGGCCACCCTCCTCCAAAAAGCCTGTTCTGCCCATGGCCATCCTCCCAGTCCCCCCGCCCTTGCACCCTCTGCAGCGCGGCCTGGCGCAGCTTGGCGCTCAGTGTGGTTCGTTGACTCACGGGCCTGGGTCACCAGGACAGGCCCATGGCTCTGCTTCTCTGGGTCCCACACGGTGCCTCGCACAGTCTTCAGGACCTCCCTCCCAGCTTACTGCTAACCGATGTGATCAGTGGGAATTCTGGCTGTTGAGGTGCGTGAAAGGCCCATCTGTAGACTCTCGCCCTGCGCCGGGTTCTGCACAGTACCTGGGTTCGCAGCCGGTCCACCTCTTCCGACAGGCTCTGCCTCTCCAGGAGAAGCTGGTTCTGCTTGTTGAGGAGCCGCACCAGCTGCTGGGCCGTGGCCTGGCTGTGCTTATCCAGCTGCCTTAGCCTGGAGAAAAATCCACCGCAGAATTAAAGAGGGATAACGGCAGACACCAGCCTTTCAACAGGCTCTGGGGCTGTGTGCATCTGAGGGAAGCCCCTGATAGGGGACCATGAGCAGGACACCTAGGGTGACCCTGAGGTGCCAGGCTCTGGCTGGCAGTGGGCCCTTGGTACGCACTGTGTGAAGGTGAGTAACATTCTAGCAAATGTGCGTGGGGACCGAGAGCCATCTCAGTACACTGTCAATTAGAAAACACGCAGATGAGTGGGGTAAGGAGAAGAAAAAAGGAAACTTGGAACTCCCAAGCAGAGGTCAAAGATGAGGGGCTTAAATGCCTCCATTGTTCAGCTGGAAAGGTCTCAGGCAGGCTGAGCAGACGCCGCCCCGGCTGGGGAAGTGGGTGAGGGCCGTGGAAACACTGAAGTAAGGGTTTTCCATTATTAATCACTCAGTCAATCACGAGCTCCGGCATCGCTGACCAGCTGTCTTTAAAGATCCTAAATTTGTCCTCTCCAGACTTGCTAATTCACTGAGGCCATTATCCTCATCCGTCCACAGTCGGCTTCCTACAGCCAGGAGCACACGCACCCATGGAACTGCTGGCTTTGGGTTAAATTTGGAGTTGAACCACTACCCAGAAGTGTCCTGGAAAGAAGGGAGACGCGTGCCCTGCCTCATCGTCCACACCCATCAAAAGCACCAACAGGCACGTTAACTCGGATTCTCACATGGAAAAGGCAGTAAAGCTCACGGTGCATTTCAACCTGCAGGATACTGCACTGCAGACCTCAGGGGCTGCCCTCAGCTCGGGTTGTCCTAGGGCTCCGAGCACAACGAAACACTGACATGACCAAATGTTTGGGCCTTCAGGTTGGGACAGGTTCCTCTACACAAAAGGACGCGCACGTGGGCATAGGCACCAATGCCCCCGGGGACCGGCGATGGTCCCTTGCCCTCCTCCCACCCTGCTCTGCCTACACCCCGTTTCCCACCGGGTTCCCCCCGCCCTGCCCCCCGCCCTTCTCAGCCTCCGACGGATTTGGCTGGAGTCTTTGGTCAAGGGGCCCGAGCCCCCAGCCTTGGCACTTCCCCAGAACGCTCCGTGACTCCCAGTTTTCAGCCACACCCAGCGTGGTGGCATGGTGCTGGTTGGCTGGGGCGCCCTACCTGTGCCGGGGAGGTGCGGGCAGCAGCTGAAACACCCTCCAAGCCGCAGAGCCGGCATTGCGCATGCTCCCAGGACGCCCCGCCCCCTGGGCCGAGTGCCTCCGACTGGCCGCGCCCACAAGCCTGCACTTGCCCACGGGCCTCGTGCTGCCCGCAGGTTCTGGAGAAAGTGTAAGGGCTCAAGGACGCCTTAGCGCCTCTTTCGGGGACAGGCGCTCCCACGACGGCGAGACTGGACAACAGCCCGGCCCTGCCCTGCCTCCAGGATCAGGCTGGGCTCAACAGAACAGCAAAGATCTTCCACCCAAGAGTGTGTTTCCCTGCGTGTGTGTTGTCTACGTGGTGATGCTCCAACACCCCACCTCTTCCCATCATCTCTGATCTTGGAGGAAAAGGTTTCCTTCTGGCGACACCTAGGGCATCGCCGCTTTGAGAAGCCTCATCTGTCCCTACCAGTCCCCATCCTGCTGGGGCTGAGGCAGCCTTTCCTGGGAGCTACTCTCAAAGCCACACCACTGGGGCAGATCACAAAAGCTCTGCTCCACCGCCCCCAGAGCCTGGGCTGTCCTCAGCAGCAAGGGTCCGGAGAGAGGAGGACTTCCCAGGTCAGGGGCCTGGGGAACCTGCCTAGGCCGACCCTCCAACACAGGCAGGAGGCCGCCATTCATCTGAGAACCCTCCCTTGCTGTGGGCCCAGGAGTGGGTCCCGTTGAAGAGACAGAGATAGTAACAGCTCTTTTCCTTGAGAAGCAGACAATCTGATGCTTCTGTATTTAAATCAGGCAGGTGAAAAGCATCATTAGCCCTTGAGCTCTGGACCCTAAAGTGGTTTTTCCCCTCCCATGAAGTCCTGCCTGTGCAGAGAGCCACTGGCTAAGAGCGACTGACACAGCAGCCCCGTGGCTTCCTGCTTCCTCGAAAAGAATGGAACAGAAACGTGACAAATGACACCATGACATGGCTCCGGGGTACGAAGGTGCCAGGAGACATGTGACAAATGACATGGCTGCATGGCGAGAAGGTGCCAGGAGCAGCCATTGTCTGTGGTCCCTTGCCCTGTGCTTGGATCAAATGGGATAATGGTCTTTTGGATGGATGGGTTCAGTATGTGGTTAGAACTCCTGAAAAAGGATGGAAGCACATCCAGGGCAACAGGCAAGGCCAAAGCCACTCTCACAGCATAAATGCCGGTCATGGCAGGCCACCCTGGCTCCACCTCCAGCAATGGGGCCTATTCTGGACTAGACCTCCCTCCTATGGAGCCCTCAGAACCTGGAGGAGGCTTAGTCCAGAGTGCTTTGCAAACTGGGGGCCTGGGAAGGCCATAGCGATTACTGGGGTGGAGGAGGAAGGAGACCACCCAGACACGCTGAATCAAGTGCCTGGGTGTGAGCCCTGCAGGACAGCAGGGGACCAGCTGACCAGGGTTTCCACAGAAGCGCCCCTGCTGTGAGGAGTGAGTTCCCTGAGACCACATTCCCAGCTAAGAGCTGAGGATGGAGTCCAATTGACTCATTTTTTAAACCAACATGAAGACTTCCAATATTATGAATATTGGGAAAAGAGATTTTTTTTAAAGTTACTTATTTTTGGAAAAGCCTTCAACCCTGCACGACCCAGCCTACCCTTCGTGAATGGATGTTTCATTACCATGATTCAGAGGAGATTTCTTGGGGGTTTCCCAGACACAAAAGCTCTTTTCTCTTCCATGGTGGTTCCTGCTCGCTCGTGTCTGTGGTCCTGAGTTCACCTATTCATCCAGCCACAGCTCCACACAGCAGCACTGACGGCTGCTAAAGCCTACTGAGCCATGTGCTTACTGCACTACCATTACCTATGTAAATTTAATCGATTAATCAATAAACTAGCTATTACATTCAATGATTAATTAAAAATTCACTACAGTCCTAGGAGGTACACGCTAGAATTATCCCCATTTTACAGATGAGAAAGCAAGCTGAGCCGTTAACTTGCACAAAGTCACACAAGTAATTGGTAGAGCTTGGAGTCAAATCCAGGCAGCACCTGGTGTCCTCAACCATTGTTAATGGTGGTTAACTCACTGAGTTAATTCACCAAACGAACCAATTCTTGGTAAACACCTCTTTTTTTTTTTTTTTGAGATGGTGTCTTTCTCTGTCGCCCAGGCTGGAGCGCAGTGGCATCATGTCGTTCACTGCAACCTCCGCCTCCCGGGTTCCAGCGATTCTCCCGCCTCAGCCTCCCAAGTAGCTGGGACTACAGGTGCGTGCCACGGGTTCATTTTTGTATTTTTCGTAGAGATGGGGTTTCGCTATGTTGGTCAGGCTGGTCTCGAACTCCAGCCGCCTCAGCCTCGCAAAGTGCTGGGATTACAGGCGTGAGCCACCGCGTCCAGCCAGTAAACATCTCTTAAGGGTCAAGTACTAAGGTAGGTACTGAGAATGATAACTGCTTCCTGCTCTTGGGAGGTTTGCGGCCAGTGGAGGAGAGACCCACTTGTAAAGAAATGTGCTCAGCTCCAACAGGACCCCGTGAGGGAAGAAGCGGTCAGTATTACAGATGGGAGGCCTGGGAGGGCTTGCGCCTGCCTAGATACCCGCCCCTCCCCAAGGCTCGTCATCATCATGTGCTGAGCACTTACTTGTCAGTCACTGCATGTATTGTTTATTTAGTTCCATGAGGCAGGAACCAATTATTATGCCCACTTCAAGAATGAGGAAACTAAGGCATAGACGACATAAATTACTCATTCAAGTCACTCAGTGGGCAAACTGGGATAGAAAGGATGAGTGGGTGGTGTTCTGGGGGGGCAGGGGCGGGGCCTTCCCACTTCCGGGTGGCAGCGCAAAGGGCACTGCGCGTCTGGAAACTGCAAGCTGCGGGGCGTGGCTGGAGCAGAGGCTGCGGGCTGCCGGGAGGGAGGTGACGCTGCACTCTGTGGCCAAACCAACAAGTATGGACTTTGTCCTGCAGGCAATGGCAGTGCCATTTATGGGACAGAGGATGGCAGGAGGGACCCGCCTGGTGGAGAAGTTCTGGGGTCAGGGCGAGTCCGAGGTACCTGCGGACACGCACTCACAGGCAGTTGCGCAGCGTGGGGTTTAGGATGGGCGAGCTGAGCTCTAGCTCAGTGGGCCAGACCTGCTGGGAGGGAGGCCATGAACGTGGGGGCCAGATTGCCTGGGAAGGGTTGGCAAACATTGTCAATGTGGGACGCTTGCTAAAAATGCGATCTCTGGCCCGCAGGCCCCGCTGGCGGAGAAGCTCTGCTGCAGTGAGAGGGAAGGACGCACCCCAAGATGGGGCTTTAGGGAACCGCCGCATTCAAGGGCTGGCAACGGACAGGAAGCTGGAGAGACACTGAGAGTGGGATCCTGGAGGGAGGAAAGCCGGGAGAGAGACCTGGAGGTCCAGGAGGAGAGGTGTCGGGGAGGAGTGGTCAGTTTGCGGGAAATACCACCTGGTGGCCGAGCGCCCACGGAGGCTCCTGCCTGGGGCAGAAGCCAGATGACGGGGCTGGAGGGGGGTATTCTGGGGAGGGGCTGGGCTGCTGGGAGGTCGCAGGACAGGGTGCGGAGGGTGGAGCCACTGGAGCTGCTGGGGAGGAGGCCCTGGAGGAGAGAGAGGCGATCTTCAAGGCAGAGGAGGGCGCCCTCCGCAGAAGACTGGGACCCTCCTCCCCAGGCCAGAGGGGCGGCGGGCGCGGTGCTCGTGCTCAGCAGCCTCGAGGATCCCCCAGGTAGAGGGCACGACTGTTTGCTGAGAAACGGGACAAGGCTGCGGGGAGGCTGCTGCGGGGACGAGGGCGCCGGCGGGAGGCAGGGACACGTTGCCAAGCCGAGGGGGCGCGCTCG